ACCACGGTATTCGGAGCGTTGCCCGACTAATCCGTTCGTCGACCCATATCGCACACCTGACATTGGTGGTGAGTCTTCCAACAAGGATTTTTCAGGGACTTAAACTTGAGACCTTACTTAAACGACATCAAACTACTTACTACTTGAACTAACCATGGTCATTGACCCAGATTTTGGCTAGCAGACACGATACTTGTCCCCATCCCTAATCCCTACCAAGGACAAAAAATGTTATCTTATAAAATTAAATATTTACTTTATAAAATGTCTTATTATTTATATTATTATAGTTTAATACATTATAGTAAAATATAAAATATCATAGTAAAATATAAAATTATACATTCATACGGTTGGACAAATATATAAAAGAGCTATAGAAATAAGAAGAATGATCTAGGCTAGCAAAAACAATACTATAATTAAGGCTACATAAGAGTTGGACAGATTTCTTTGATATAGATGTGTATTTATATTATAAAAGTATAATATTATTATCTATATTATAATTTAAAATATGACATTTAAATATAAAATTATGGTTGAACAACATAGCAAAAAAAGTTATCTATAAAATTATAATATTATTATCTACAAAATTATGGACTGGAAATAAAAATTTCTCAATGGCATAAATCTAAACACATGGAGAAAAATCTACTGCTGTTGGAGCACATAAAAGACGATCGAAATTTATGAATATGATGAGAATTGAGATGCCTTGTCCTCCTCAGTTCATCCACTAAATTATTATTTAATTTGTATATATTATTCAGAACTAATATGCATGAATTAATAATAAGAATAATAATAATAACAATGTTAACAATAATATTATTAAATGTCACACCATGCATACATCAAACTAGTGATACCATACTATCAGACTCGATAAACACCACAAACTTATCATTCCAATTAAATTGCAAACAGAAACAAAAGAAGTGTCCAAAAACTAACAGCACACTTATTATTCCAATTAAATTGCAAACAGAAATAAAAGAGTGTTCATAAGACTTATTATTTTAGGAAACAAAATATAGGGACGGGTGCATAATTATTGTTGTTCAATACTACGTCAACAAAAAATTAAAAACTATTGTTGACGCCATTAATAGCTTCCACATAAGGGTCTCCTTAGTTGAGCGAAACGAAATTGAAATAGTTGGTGGATTTTAAGCTCTCAACAGTCTCTTTGAGCCCTTGTTCTACCGAAATAAAGTCAATTCCTAGAAATTTTGCCCTTTCTTTTGAGACTAAGTATTTGGTCGCAAATGGCTTGTCATCCGCACACCTGCAATTTTTTAACCTCGAAATTAAAATTCAATTATCCTAGATAACACTAAAT